ATTCTCTATCAACTTTTAAATTGTGGGTTGATATACAATCCAACTAGAGGGAGATTGACTCTGCAAGCAAGGCAAATTAATATAAATATATATATATATATATATGTAGATATATGTATGTTAGGAAAATAATCCATACATCATTTTTATAATAATGCTAATCAAAAAAGGATGAGAAAAAACAGGGGATGAAATATTCGAAATCCAATCACATCTACAAGAAGAACAATTCCCAAGTATGATATCATGCTTAAAATCACTCTAGTGTTTTGTATGTCGCATGAGGTAATGACGCGTTCTTTTTCTCTTTCTCTTTTTGTAAGTTATGGATGGCTCAACGAGCCAAGCAGAACAAAGAGCACATAACTCAAAAAGCCAGAAAACCGAAGGGAAAAAAAAAAAGAGGGGAAACGGAGCAGGACACACGTTCTAGTCGGAAAGCTTGCTCCCCAAATCGGCCCTGGGCGGTGGCAACATCTCGTCGGAAAATCGAGCCGGAGAAATAATATCATCGGTCGGGTTCCCAGGTCTGCCTTCGCCACCATTGCCATGAAGGGCAGTGACGCCGACGCCGACGCCGAGCTTCTTCTCATTCGCGAAAAGCATCGGGCTGGTCCGCTCGAAATACGACCGGACATGTGCATGCTTAAGGCCCTCATCCAGGTCATCCTCTTCGAACTGCAACTCCTTCTCCGCAGCCTGTCGGGCCACGAGCGACTCCCAGTCGCCGCGCATCTCGTCGACCTTGCGCTTGTAGTCCAGTTCGGGATCGTAATACTTGCCAGCGCCGCGGATGCGTTCCCAGAGCGATAGATGCTTTGGGTGGACGGCTGGGCCGTGGTATTCGCTCTCGCGGCCACTGCGGAGAAAGTACCAGCGGCGCTCCTGCTCCTTGAGATCCAGGCCAGTGGTATCTGGGAGGAAGAGCCAAGTGAGAACCATGCCCGCCAGACCAAACCAGGGAACGACATAGAATTTGGTCTGGGTGTCGATGTAATTGTAAAGGATGGCAGCGAGGAGAGCACCGAGTTTACCGACTGCGGCGGCGAAGCCGTGGGCTGTTGCGCGGATCGGGGTGGGGAAGACTTCTGCGGCGACGAGGAAGGTTACGGCATTGGGACCGAATTGATTGAAAAAACTGCTGAGGAAATACATGGCCTGGAAGGCGTGGATGTGTTCTGGGGAGGTGTAGTATTTGAAATTGAAGGCCGGGATGACGAAGAAGATGAAATCCATGAGGAATCCTATTTGCTGCATCCATTTCCGGCCGTAGAGTTTGTTGTCGATGAAGAAGGCTAGAATTGGATCGTTAGCATATCGTCTGAGAGGGGGGGGGGGGGGGGGAGAGAAACCACGTCCGATGGGAGAGCGACGCCCAGAGAGAGAGAGAGAGAGAGAGAGAGAGAGAGAGGATACGAAAGGTGGTTTTTTGTTTGCGCTTATTATCATAACATTCGACTTTCCCGGCATATAATAGCCCCATGAGCCGAACACCAACGTTTGATATGTTATACAGCCCACCGGGCATAATCGAGTGGGAATTCGGGGCTGATGACAGCGATGAACTCACTCTGGAAGAGTTTGTTACCCGTAGAAGAACACGTCGTTCGCGAACCAAGTACCGGCAGTCGCGATCAGACGGGGACCGAAGTACTTGAAAGTCAGAGCCAGAGACTGGGTGTCGTAACCGGTGACTTTCGCCCTGGCCTTCGCAATCGAGAGCTGCTTGCTGGCTGCTTTTCTCTTTGAGTAACGATAGTAGACTAACCAGAAGGTGCCGAGGGCGGGGATGGCGAAAGAGACACGGTAAGTCC